ATAAATTAGTCAAAGTTTGGGATCATAATTCTGGGGTACCTACATTGGACTGAAATTACACATACATATTTTCGTGATGCCAATTGCTTCATGGGTCATAAAAATTGCAAAGGTTGTGATATTTTGAGCCTTTTTGGAAATGTTTAACTTTAAGTTGAAAAATCACAAGAGGTAAGTGACCTGCAGGGATCAATGATTTATAAAGATAATGGATTCAATTGGGGAGGATGATTGGAAGTCCTGTATATTTTCAGTACTTGGGAGTTGACCGTTACTAGGATTACTTGACAGATGCGGTTAAACTATTAAACTTGATTTTGATGCAAATTTAAGGTGATGATGGTTTCATAAATTGGATGTCAAAAACCTCTTACACTGGTGCTAGAACGATATGGATTTTTTGAAAAGTAGCCTACACATCTCCCTAATGAGTAATTGGTTGGAATGCGAGCAGATGAGGTTGAGGCCAGTGAGATTACTCATTCATGGAAATGTGAATGGTAAATATCTAAAACTTCGAGTGTTGGAATTTGAAGGAGAAGTTGGCGTTTCAATAAAGCATTAGTCATAGGGCAGAGGTATTGATTAAAAGTGTTTAGTCATTTAGAGAAAGGATCCAACAATACTGGTAGCATCCACTATATTCATGGCAGAAAGGGTAAGGGTCGTCCTTCGCAAGGTTGAAGGGTAAGGAGGTTAATGTGGTGTCGGAGCTGACAGCAAGCAGTGCATGAAGTGATAGATAGGAGATTTAATGCAACGAAATGAATTGGACTAAATCTGTTGGAGTGTGAAAGGTAAATATTCAGAAGGGAATCCAGCCTAATCGGTTATATTATTTGGTCGGACTTGAGTCCTGGAAATGGTGATTGCCTGCCTTCACTTTTAAATGGGGGTTTGGATATTGGATTTGGAGGTAATATATTTATAACGAATACTCTTCTAAAACTGTTGATTCTGACACCTTCCAAAATCTGGATAAGTTGATTGGTAAAGTGTTAATATGATGAAAGTAAATTTCTTTTATGGGGATTTTCTTTTTTTTTGGGTCAATGCCCTGCCTGTGGAGACGACCGACTTGTTGAAACAAAATAAAAAATATAAATATATAAAAGTCCGTGCGAAGGAAACTTTGCGATCTTGGCTTAAATAGAAGCATCTTGCAATAATAGAACGTAAAATTTGTGTAGTTAATAATTTCGCCAAAATCTTAATTAAACGAAAATATAATTTCACTGTGATTGTTTAAGTTTTAAATTTATTGTAAACAAATCTAAATATTTTGTGCTAAGGCTATCAATTGGTTGGGTCTATTTTAAAACGTTTGTAAGTTTATCTTGGTGGCAAATTTAAATTTTTACATTAACATTTGAGTTTCTAACTGACCAGTTATACATATGGCACGATATACTTGAATTATTATATTTTAATAATTATTTATATATATAAATATATTTATATATTATTATATAATATCTCATGGCTGAGGACTCGCACGAGAACCTTGGAACAAGGTAACGATGGACAAGTACGCACAATTCTCACCACACTGGACCAATACCTTGGCGTCCAGCTTGCGCTAGACTTTGATCCAAGGCAGCCAGCTTTCAGGGAGAAGGCTTACAGCTTTTCATCTCATCCCCTGCATGCATGCAGGGGATGAGATGAAAAGCTGGCTGTTGCTACTGGAGGCCCACTGCCCCAAACATTCGTCACAAACTGGTTGATCTGTCACCTGGTGAAGATACTTGCCAGTTTTCTGTTGAAGACGTTCCAGCAGTATTTTTGATATCTTCTGTGAAGATGTTTAAAAATCTGGAATGTGCTCACCGCACCTCTGCTTTACACTGGGTTTATTTTGCACTTCCTTCCATATCTCTCGCTCTAGTACAGGGTGCCCAAAAAAAACACTTCCTGATTTCAAACATGTTTAACATGTTGAATTAGACACATGTGCAACTCTTGGGTATCTTTATTGATACCCAAGAGTTGCACATGTGTCTAATTCAACAACATGTTGGTTCTCTGAACCATTCATCTACAATGTTTAACATGTAACTTTATTGTATTAATCTTTCACAGAAGCTTCAGATGCAGGATCTCATTCAGTTTCATGTGGTATAGGATAGCATTAAAGGCACTCAATGTGCGCCGCTCTGGTTGCTCGGCAAACATCAGTGCGATAGTCCAGTTCGGTCCAGACGCTCTGCAAAATATCTGGTGTTATGCGAACTGCTTCAGTGATCGAAATTTTCAGCTCCTCCAGGGTTGCAGGTAGTGGTGGAACGTAAACTGTACTCTTCACGTGCCCCCAAAGGAAAGTCACAAGCAGTTAGGTCCGGTGACCTTGCAGGCCATTTGCAGAGGTCACTGGACCTAACTGTTTGTGACTTCTTTTTTGTGGTCACCCTGTATATTGATACAGCAGTGTGCAGATTTGGGACCAGGCCCTCTAGTACCTACCTAACATGTATATATTATCACGTACCTCTCAGTGAGTACATATTGACGTCTTTAAGACGTTCGCAGTAATTTAAATGTTTTATTTGCTCTACGTGGGCCGTATACAATCTCTGTATTTGTTCAGGGTCTGATATTTCTCCTGCCTTGAACGGGGCCGTCAACACTGAGCAATATTCCAAATAAGGGAACACTAACAGTTTGAAAAGTGTCACTACTGCCATTATTTCTCTTGATTTGAAGATTCTCAATATCCAACCCATCATTCTCCTGGCTGTCTTGACCTTTGTTTTATGTTCTTAGAAAGAAAGGTCACCTGACAGGTATTCTCAAGTCTTTCACATGTTACTTTCGTTCTATTTGATGATCCACTTCAGTTTTGTATACTGTGTTCCTTTTGAGTTCTTCATTCTTTCCATACCTAAGTTGGAACTGATTACTTTTGAACTTAATGTTCTTCTCCCCTGCCCACTGGAAAAACACTGCTTATATCTTCCTGTAATTTTTTAGTGTCTTCTACCCTAGTGTTTTTATGCTTATTTTAGTGTCATCTGCAAATGCTACACAATTGCGATGGGTGTTTTATCTAAGTTTGCTATGAGGGTGTGAAACAGCAGAGGTGCTTGGACAGCACCTTGGGGAAATAAGCTATTTACCTCGCTGATGCTGGATTTTGCTGTTTATTACTACTTGTTTGCCTCCTGTGTGTTAGGAACCCGAAAATCTATCTGCAGTGAATACTCAATAATAAACCAGAGATTTCTATTATCAAACCATACAGAACAGTTACTGTATGGATAAATAAGGTTTCACTGTATCACAGAGCTAATGAGTTGTTATTGATTCATGTAGTCAGACTGCACGTTTTGATGTGTCCATCAGGACACTTAAGAAACGAAGGAATCCAAAATTCGTCAAACTACAACACAGGAGAGCCAACAAAAAAATATTTTCCAGAATATTAGTAAACGTAAGGCACAATCTTCCTGCTGAAGCCTCGGTACCCAATGTGTCTTCCTGCTGAAGCCTCGGTACCCAATGTGTCTTCCTGCTGAAGCCTCGGTACCCAATGTGTCTTCCTGATGTGTCTTCCTGCTGAAGCCTCGGTACCCAATGTGTCTTCCTGCTGAAGCCTCGGTACCCAATGTGTCTTCCTGCTGAAGCCTCGGTACCAAGTGTGCTGCACTGTCAGCACCAGACTCATAATAAACACTGGGAAGCTCCAGCACAGATCATGGTTTTAATTCCTGTTCAGCTCATCGTCGCTGGAGTTGGTAGACAACGTTTAATTTTTTAACATATCGGCTGTTTCCCACCAAGGTTAACTGTCTCAGTGAATGAAATACCAGCACTTGTTTGTTCAGTAGATGTGTTAACATGACTCAAGAAATCGTAATGACACGATTGCAAATAAACCATATCCCCGGCCGGGATTGAACCCGCGGTCATAGTCTCAAAACTCCAGCCCGTCGCGTTAGCCACTAGACCAGCTAGCCACAATAAGATTCATCCAACTAGGTATATTTCTACACCATAGGAAAGTTAGCACAGGCACTCTATGACCGCGGGTTCAATCCCAGCCGGTGGTATGGTTTATTTGCAATCGTGTCATTACGATTTCTTGAGTCATGTTGACGGCAGTGAAGGGACTTGAGCTAGAGTTCGTCACGGCCACGCTAGCTGGAGATTCGTCTGTAAAAATTTGCATTTGTGGTCACAGTGGTGCCTGTGCTAACCTTCCTATGGTGTAGAAATATACCTAGTTGGATGAATCTTATTGTGGCTAGCTGGTCTAGTGGCTAACGCGACGGGCTGGAGTTTTGAGACTCTATGACCGCGGGTTCAATCCCGGCCGGGGTATGGTTCAGTAGATGTGTTTCCTGACAGAAATGTTAAAACAAATGTAGATAAAAAGAGCAAACTTCTGCAAAACTCTGATGCATCACAATAAAGTATTTGGCTTGGAAGCATTAAATCTGATATCTCTGAAATTTTAAATTACTTCATTTAACATTTTAAAGAATCGTTAACCAAATTATTTCAAGCGAATAAAATTATTGAGCATATCAGTAAATAAAGATATAAATTAATGACCCATGTTTTTAAAACTAGTAAAACACTTCAGCTTGTTCCTTCTAAATTACTTTATTTATCACTTACTGTGCCAGGGGCCACTTTCTGGGCCTTGGCCCTTTATGAGTCACCTGGTGGATTTCTTAGAACTAGGTTGATTATTTATTCTGACAAAATCCCGAAGGATTAATCTCTACCATAATTGTCCCCTCACAGAAGGTTCCTTGAAGTTGGTGAGGGGCTCTTGATTTAGGGAATTGGATCTGTGCTCCAGTTCCCCGAATTAAACCTGAATGCCTTCCACATCCCCCCGGCGCTGTATAATCCTACGGGTTTAGCGCTCCCCTTGATTATAATAATAATAATAATAATCTACCATAATTGTTATCTACAATCTATTTGAAACAACTGAACCAAGACAATGTGAAACGTGGCCTAAAACCGCCGTTTCACATGCAGGGAATTACCTCTACACTTGCAGCCTCTGACACTAAACAATACGGCACCTGACCAAGCCACATTCTTGCAATATTACCGAAGTCACAGAATCCACATACTCTTTTGAAAAATTCTGAAAATTAAATATAATTTATTATTTACCATGTAATTGCAACGAGAAAATTTTAGCGTGAGTAAATCTGTTAGTAAACGGAAGATGAAGATGAGAGAGAGAGAGAGAGAGAGAGAGAGAGAGAGAGAGAGAGAGAGAGAGAATGTTGTACATAGAAAAGAAGAAAAAAAAATAGCACCCACCAACACCATCATCTCCTTATTGCATTTACATACAGATGTTTATAAGTGATTTAGGTATTAACTAACAATGACTATATTAAGCAAATAAACTGTACGTGAAACGCAAAACAGTGGGAAATTTTTAATTTTTTGGGGAGGCCCCAAAATTTTTTTTTAGTGTAAACATGAACCCTGGTAAAGTTTTTAAACTTTTTTAATTTACCCCTTTTCTATATTTTTTTTCAAATTTTAAAAACGCAATTTTTATCTAAAAAATTTTTTTTTTGTAGAAATTTGAAAGTAAAGAAATTTTTACTGTGGAAATACGTATTGTACCAATTTTTATTAAAAAATTTTTAAAATTTTTTAAAATATCAATAGCAGTAGTAGCATTTGTAGTAGCCCGTATAGTAGCATATAAGGCGAAATATAGCATATAGTAGCAGTATAGTAGCAGTAGTAAATACAGTAGTAGTACATTTTTAAGGGAGCAGTAAATAATAGCAATTTGTAGTAGCATTAGTAAAAGAAATTAGCAGTAATAGTAGCAGTAATTGTAGCAGAAAAAGTACAGTAATAGTAGCAGTATATAGGAGCATTAAATATTGCAGCAAAAGTATTGCAGTAGCAGTATTCTTAAAAAAAGAATATTTTTTTTTAACTTAATTTCACAAAATTAATTAAAACCTTGGAAAATTTATTTTTTTTTAATTTACTTAAATGCTTCTTTATTTCTCCTCTTAAACCAAAGATTTTAGTAATATTTTCCCACTTAGCTCAATGAAAACGATTAATCTCTCATAAGTGTAAAAAAAAATTATGTACTGTTTACAGAATTAGTGCTGTACTTTGTGACTGGTGAAATGTACGGCAATTCTGAATTGTGTACAATTCTTCCATTATTATTATTATTTGCTTACTTCTACAGGGTTGGGGAGGAGGGGAATAATTGCAAAGAAATGATAGGTGAGTAAAGTACAATGTAAACAGAAGCACAGAACACCTCATTTCAGTTTAACAGAAGCACAGAACACCTCATTTCAGTTTAACAGAAGCACAGAACACCTCATTTCAGTATAACAGAAGCACAGAACACCTCATTTCAGTATAACAGAAGCACAGAACACCTCATTTCAGTATAACAGAAGCACAGAACACCTCATTTCAGCATAACAGAAGCACAGAACACCTCATTTCAGTATAACAGAAGCACAGAAACACCTCATTTCAGTATAACAGAAGCACAGAACACCTCATTTCAGCATAACAGAAGCACAGACAACACCTCATTTCAGCATAACAGAAGCACAGAACACCTCATTTCAGCATAACAGAAGCACAGAACACCTCATTTCAGTATAACAGAAGCACAGAACACCTCATTTCAGTATAACAGAAGTACAGAACACCTCATTTCAGAATAACAGAAGCACAGAACACCTCATTTCAGTTTAACAGAAGCACAGAACACCTCATTTCAGCATAACAGAAGCACAGAACACCTCATTTCAGCATAACAGAAGCACAGAACACCTCATTTCAGTATAACAGAAGCACAGTACACCTCATTTCAGTATAACAGAAGCACAGAACACCTCATTTCAGTATAACAGAAGCACAGTACACCTCATTTCAGTATAACAGAAGCACAGAACACCTCATTTCAGTATAACAGAAGCACAGAACACCTCATTTCAGTATAACAGAAGCACAGAACACCTCTTTTTCAGCATAACAGAAGCACAGAACACCTCATTTCAGTATAACAGAAGCACAGAACACCTCATTTCAGTATAACAGAAGCACAGAACACCTCATTTCAGTATAACAGAAGCACAGTACACCTCATTTCAGTATAACAGAAGCACAGAACACCTCATTTCAGTATAACAGAAGCACAGAACAACCTCATTTCAGTATAACAGAAGCACAGTACACCTCATTTCAGTATAACAGAAGCACAGAACACCTCATTTCAGTATAACAGAAGCACAGAACACCTCATTTCAGTATAACAGAAGCACAGAACACCTCATTTCAGTATAACAGAAGCACAGAACACCTCATTTCAGTATAACAGAAGCACAGAACACCTCATTTCAGCATAACAGAAGCACAGAACACCTCATTTCAGTATAACAGAAGCACAGAACACCTCATTTCAGTATAACAGAAGCACAGAAACCTCATTTCAGTATAACAGAAGCACAGAACACCTCATTTCAGTATAACAGAAGCACAGAACACCTCATTTCAGTTTAACAGAAGCACAGAACACCTCATTTCAGTTTAACAGAAGCACAGAACACCTCATTTCAGTATAACAGAAACACAGAACACCTCATTTCAGCATAACAGAAGCACAGAACACCTCATTTCAGAATAACAGAAGCACAGAACACCTCATTTCAGCATAACAGAAGCACAGAACACCTCATTTCAGCATAACAGAAGCACAGAACACCTCATTTCAGCATAACAGAAGCACAGAACACCTCATTTCAGCATAACAGAAGCACAGAACACCTCATTTCAGCATAACAGAAGCACAGAACACCTCATTTCAGCATAACAGAAGCACAGAACACCTCATTTCAGCATAACAGAAGCACAGAACACCTCATTTCAGCATAACAGAAGCACAGAACACCTCATTTCAGCATAACAGAAACACAGAACACCTCATTTCAGCATAACAGAAGCACAGAACACCTCATTTCAGTATAACAGAAAACACAGAACACCTCATTTCAGTATAACAGAAACACAGAACACCTCATTTCAGCATAACAGAAGCACAGAACACCTCATTTCAGTATAACAGAAGCACAGAACACCTCATTTCAGCATAACAGAAGCACAGAACACCTCATTTCAGAATAACAGAAGCACAGAACACACTCATTTCAGTATAACAGAAACACAGAACACCTCATTTCAGTATAACAGAAGCACAGAACACCTCATTTCAGTATAACAGAAACACAGAACACCTCATTTCAGTATAACAGAAGCACAGAACACCTCATTTCAGCATAACAGAAACACAGAACACCTCATTTCAGCATAACAGAAACACAGAACACCTCATTTCAGCATAACAGAAACACAGAACACCTCATTTCAGCATAACAGAAACACAGAACACCTCATTTCAGTATAACACTCCATAGCCAACCCTCAAACTGGAGATGAAGCTTGACGTTTCGGTCATTAGAAAATCTTTATCAGGTCACAAAATTCTACAGTGGTCCTCAATGGTCCGAAACAGCTTCTCTAAAACGTTGCATGAAAATTAAGGCTCGTCCCTGGATTTTCCTTACATCTTCACCAGATTTTTTGTTTGACAGGAAAATTGTACAGCAATATTCAGAATGGCTGCAAGTATTCACCTCGTCTCTCAAAATGCAAATATGAGATAATGTCCTGCATGGAAATATTCTGTCCTAGATTTAACACTATAGAATACAAAAAAGAAATATTATGGGAAAAAATGTAATGAACATTATAAATCTGTACATAAGATAAGATAAGATAAGATTTCGTTCGGATTTTTAACCCCGGAGGGTTAGCCACCCAGGATAACCCAAGAAAGTCAGTGCGTCATCGAGGACTGTCTAACTTATTTCCATTGGGGTCCTTAATCTTGTCCCCCAGGATGCGACCCACACCAGTCGACTAACACCCAGGTACCTATTTGCTGCTAGGTGAACAGGACAACAGGTGTAAGGAAACGTGTCGAAATGTTTCCACCCGCCGGGAATCGAACCCGGGCCCTCCGTGTGTGAAGCGGGAGCTTTAGCCACGAGGCCACCAGGCCACTCCATCGTGGATTATGTTTATATGACACATTTATTTTAGCCATTTTATGAAATCAGTGGACATATTTAATATTTACATCCAGAACTGGATTTTACTAAGAAAAAAAAAGGTGCTATTATTTAATATAACATAAGTACCCCCAAGCAATATAAATGGGAAAATTACGCACTATATTTAAGAAACCAAAATGTACTGCCATTATAATATCTAGAGTAGACTTAGCCACTCAGAGCTTCAATTTACCTCGAGGTTCAACAGTGACTTGAAGTGCATTGCCAAATATGGGAAGTGCCTTTGGTCCTGGGATCTGATCTATCAGCCAGATCTATTTAAATAAAATAATCAATATGAGAACCGAAACATAAAATGTATAATACAGAAATATTTTTAACACGAATTTAGGTTCATTAATTCAACATATGAAATATTTTGTATAAAAAAAAAAGACGAAAAAAAAAGCAAATATTGCAATTATATGTTAAGCTTTAGTGTCACTTCCACTGTGATCTGTTACACAAGATGCCAAGATACAGCGAATCGTCACTACATTTTCGGATATCATGATGTAGATGTTGGAAACTATAAATCTATTAAACTCTCCTCCTACAGAGCTAATCCTGAAAAACAGTTTAGTACTGAGAAACTGCTTAGCTATATAACACTGAGTTGTCCCCAGTCCACATAACTACTGCGTTTTATTTATTATCAATATAATTAATTCAATAACATCCTGCGGCTAATCCTTCTTTATAAAACGTTTGATCTTATCAAACCTTGAAATACCACATTATGCTGCTTTCCTGATCAACTGGTGTTTTTTGTTACAGTAAATGCGCTGTATATAAAAATCAGCAGATACCTTCCGCTGCCTCCTGATGAGCCATGGCAGTACGATGGCGACGACTAATGTGAGTGTCGTGTAGGTGATGAGGTCTGGCAGGAACGACAACACATCATTCCTGAGCCAAGCCATGCTCCCTGGGGGACACAAAATACAGTAATACTTACAACACATGTCTCAAATAATACGTAAGTCATGCTGTTATGTACAACATCTCAACATTGTTCTTGCAAAAAAACTGATATATATCAGAGCAGCTTAATTAAGAAATGTAAAAATACACAGGTAGGTATGAAGGTTCACATGTGCACTTGAAGAAAAAAACTTGCTCTACTCTCTCTACTGGGCAGAAGTGACTTCTGGCATCTCTGATACAGTAAACAGAGAAACAAAGACTATTTTCATGTATCAATTAACGCAGCTGTTAACGATGATAGCGACTGGTTGACAAAATTAATTGCCAGAACTTTCTGGGCATCGATATGTAGCAATATTTACCAACAATATTTAGCAACACTAAATGTTGCGCATAATATATATATATATATATATATATATATATATATATATATATATATTATATATATATATATATATATTATATATATATATATATATATATAAAATGTCGTGCCGAATATGTAAAACTGGTCAATTAGCAAGAACTCATCTAAAATTAAGTCCTTTCTGAAAATTTCTCTTATACATTTAAAGATATATTTTTTTCATTAATGTTAAAGTAAAAAATTTTAATTTTGCACCAAAAGAATCTTAGAAAACTTACCTAACCTTATTATAACAAGAACAATTTATTTTAGCCTAACCCAACTAAATATATTTTAAATATGTTTACAATAATTTAATACTAAACAAACACAATCAAATATATTTTTTTGGTTAGGTTCAGAATGATTTTGACGAAACTATTGCATACACAAATTTTCACTTGTCCTATATGGCACGATGAGCGTTGCTATTTAAGCCAAGATCGCAAGTTCTGCCTATTCGGCACGACATTATATATATATATATATGCATGCAAGGAATTCGCAAGAGCAGGCGAAATATACACAAACACTGATCTCTGGCCGAAGGAGACTCGAACCAACGAACCTTGGAAAAAGGTACGCAGTGCTATACCATTCTCACCACTCTGGACCAATACCTTGGCGTCCAGCTTGCGATAGATGTATTGGTCCAGTGTGGTTAGGTATTGGTCCAGTGTTGTGAGAATGGCATAGCACTGCGTACCTTGTTCCAAGGTTCGTAGGTTCGAGTTTCCTTCGGCCAGAGATCAGTGTTTGTGTATATTTCGCCTGCTCTTGCGAATTCCTTGCATTGTTAAAATCTCTAGTAAGGCTGCATGCAGGGGCCGAGATGAAAAGCTGTAAGCCTTCTCTCTGAAAGCTGGCTGCCTTGGATCAAACGTCTAGCGCAAGCTGGACGCCAAGGTATTGGTCCAGTGTGGTGAGAATGGTAAGGCACTGCGTACCTTGCTCCAAGGTTCGAAGGTTCGAGTCTCCTTCAGTGGGAGACTGCCGACGTTGAAATATATATATAATATTATATATAATATATATATATATATATATAATATATATATATATTTATATATATATATATATATAAATTATATATATATATGAGGATAAAAAGATTAGGTGATGAAAGATTGGATATCAGTTTGGAGGAAGAGAGTATGGAGGAGGTGAATGTATTCAGATATTTGGGAGTGGATGTGTCAGCGGATGGGTCTATGAAAGATGAGATGAATCATAGAATTGATGAGGGGAAAAGGGTGAGTGGTGCACTTAGGAGTCTGTGGAGACAAAGAACTTTGTCCTTGGAGGCAAAGAGGGGAATGTATGAGAATATAGTTTTTCCAATGCTCTTATATGGGTGTGAAACATGCGTGATGAATGTTGCAGCGAGGAGAAGGCTGGAGGCAGTGGAGATGTCATGTCTGAGGGCTTTGTGTGGCGTGAATATAATGCAGAGAATTCGTAGTTTGGAAGTTAGGAGGAGGTGCGGGATTACCAAAACTGTTGTCCAGAGGGCTGAGGAAGGGTTGTTGAGGTGGTTCGGATATGTAGGGAGAATGGAGCGAAACAGAATGACTTCAAGAGTGTATCAGTCTGTAGTGGAAGGAAGGTGGGGTAGGGGTTGGCCTAGGAAAGGATGGAGGGAGGGGGTAAAGGAGGTTTTGTGTGCGAGGGGCTTGGACTTCCAGCAGGCATGCGTGAGCGTGTTTGGTAGGAGTGAATGGAGACAAATGGTTTTTAATACTTGACGTGCTGTTGGAGTGTGAGCAAAGTAACATTTATGAGGGATTCAGGGAAACCGGCAGGCCGACTTGAGTCCTGGAGATGGGAAGTACAGTGTCTCCACTCTGAAGGAGGGGTGTTAATGTTGCAGTTTAAAAACTGTAGTGTAAAGCACCCTTCTGGTAAGACAGTGATGGAGTGTATGATGGTGAAAGTTTTTCTTTTTCGGGTCACCCTGCCTTGGTGGGAATCGGCCAGTGTGTTATATATATATATATATAATATATATAATATATATATATATTATTATTATATATATACCTGGAGGTTATTCCGGGGATCAACGCCCCCGCGGCCAGGTCCATGACCAGGCCTCCCGATGGATCAGGGCCTGATCAACTAGGCTGTTACTGCTGGCCGCATGCAGTCCAACGTACGAGCCACAGCCCGGCTGATCCGGCACTGACTTTAGGTATCTGTCCAGCTCTCTCTTGAAGGCAGCCAGTGGTTTATTGCCAATTCCCCTAATGTTTGATGGGAGGCTGTTGAACATTCTTGGGCCCCGGACACTTATGTGTTTTCCCTTAGTGTACCAATGGCACCCCTACTTTTAATTGGGGGCATTTTGCATCGCCTGCCCAGTCTTTTACTTTCGTAGGGAGTGATTTCTGTTTGCAGATTTGGGACCATTCCTTCCAGGATTTTCCAAGTGTAGATTATGATATCTCTCTCTCTCTCCTGCATTCCAACGAGTACAAACAAGTCAAGTGCTTCCAAGCGTTCCCAGTAGTTAAGGTGCTTGACAGAACTTATACGTGCAGTAAAGGATCTCTGTACACTCTCTAGATCTGCGATTTCACCTGCTTTGAATGGAGATGTTAATGTACAGCAGTATTCCAGCCTAGAGAGAACAAGTGATTTGAAAAGGATCATCAATGGCTTGGCATCTCTCGTTTTGAACGTTCTCATTATCCATCCTATCGTTTTCTTTGCACGTGCATTCGTGGCACTGTTGTGATCCTTGAAATAGAGATCCTCAGACATTACTACTCCCAGGTCCCTTACATTATTTTTCCGCTATATTGTATGGCCGGAGTCAGTAGTATACTCTTGTTATTATCTCCTCCAGTTTTCCATAACGGAGTAGTTGGAATTTGTCCTCATTGAACATCATATTGTTTACCGTTGTCCACTGGAAAACTGTGTTTATATCTTCTTGGAGGTTAACCGCGTCCTCAGCAGATGACAGCCTCATGCAGATCCTAGTATCGTCCGCAAAGGATGATACGGTGCTGTGATCTCTGTCTATGTCTGATATGAGGATAAGAAATAAGATGGGGGCGAGTACTGTGCCTTGCGAAACAGAGCTCTTCACTATGGCAGCCTCCGATTTAACTCTGTTGACCACTACTCTTTGTGTTCGATTTGTTAGGAAGTTGAAGATCTATCTCCCCACTTTCCCAGTTATTCCTTTAGCACGTATTTTACTGGCTATTACGACATGATCGCATTTGTCAAATGCTTTTGCAAAGTCTGTGTATATTACATTTGCATTCTGATTTTCTTCCAGTGCATCCAAGGCCATATCATAGTGATCCAGTAGTTGTGAGTGGCAGGAGTGACCTGCCTTGAACCCATGTTGCCCTGGATTGTGCAGATTTTGGGAATCCAAGTGATTTGCAATCCTGCTTCTTAGCACTCTTTCAAAGATTTTTATGATGTGGGACATCAGAGCTATTGGTCTATAGTTCTTAGCTAATGCTTTGCTGCCACCTTTATGGAGTGGGGCTGTATCCGTTGTTTTAAGTGACTGTGGAATTTCACCCATGTCCAAGCTCCTCCTCCATAGTGTGCTTAGGGCACGCGAGAGGGGTTTATTGCAGTTCTTAATGAAAACAGAGTTCCACGAGTCTTGGCCCGGGGCTGAGTGCATGGGCATGTTGTCAATGGCTTTTTCGAAATCTATCGGATGTTAGGTAATGTCGGAAATCTGGCATACATTTATGGAGTTTTGAGGCTCATTCATGAAGAAATCATTTGGGTCGTCGATCCTCAGACTGATTAGTGGTTCACTAAACACAGAGTCGTACTGGGATTTCAATATTTCACTCATTTCCTTGTTGTCATCTGTGTAAGTCCCATCCTGTCTGAGAAAGGGGCCCGATACTAGATGTGGTATTTGCGTTGTTTTTGGCATATGAAAAGAAATATTTTGAATTTCTTTCAATTTCACTAATAGCTTTAAGCTCCTCCTGTCTCTCCTGGTTCCTGTAAGAGTCATTTAACTTAAGGTCGATAGTTTCCACTTCCCTGGTCAGCGCCTCCTTTCATGTATCAGATATTCTAGCACTCCTGAGGAGCTCAGTGACTCTTCGTCGTCTTCTGTAGAGGGAGCGTCTCTCTCCAGTTTACTCCTGCTCTTCTTCTTTCTTAGGGGAATATGTCTAGAACATGCTTCAGCTGCCAGGAAGTTGATCCTTTCAAGGCACTGGTTTGGATCCATGTCATTTAAGACATCTTCCCAACATGTTTCGTTTAGGACATGGTTTACCTGGTCCCAGTTGATGTTCTTGTTGTTGAAGTTGTATTTTGTGAAGACACCTTCACAGGTACATGCATTCTGCTGATCAGGACCCCTATGCATGTACGTCTGGAACTTCGATTAGGTTGTGATCGGAATTAGTTGTTTTTGATATTCTTATGTCTCTTATCAGGTCCTCATTATTTGTGAAGATAATGTCAAGTGTGTTTTCTAGTCTTGTTGGCTCCACTATCTGCTGGCTTAAGGTGTGTGTTTCGCAGAGGCTTAGTAGCTCGTGTGTGTGACCTTTCATCTGCACTACCTCCGGGGATTGTTTCAACTATAACATTAT